TGTGCCCCTCATCCACCCCATGTCCGAGGTGAGTTAACAAAGTTGGGAGCGTACATAAATCAACTTGCTCGCTTTGTTATAAAAGTTTGATAAAGCGTTTTACACACACGCACGCACGCACATAGAGACTACACACAGACTACGGAGAGAGGGAGAGTGCAGCATGCAGGGGGAGAGGGGGTGGGGGATAGACGGAGGAAACACACATTCCGCATTGCAATCTTGCTAATTGCTTGCTGAACGCATGGCCATGCTAATGTTGGCCAACAGGCAGCATCAGCAGCCACACGAATCCTGGATACCCTGACACTCTCATAAAGAGCTCAACCGCTCATCTGGTCATAGGGGAGGCAGGGCACGGGCAGGGGCAGGGCAGGGCAGGGCAGGGGGCACGACGCGTGCAACAGGAACTGCATTCATACTTTTGCCAGGCAAATGATATGCTCCCTCCAGACTTGACCTGGTTTTTCGGTGGAGGCGGCAGGGACACTCACCATCACACTGTGCCATTCATCTCGATTCAGGCTCTCGCCCACAGTGACACTCGTTGAATGCTTGCCAAAGACATGGACCACCTTCAGTTGGCCCTTCTCCACAATCACATAGAGTGCATAGGGGTCCAAATTAATGCGATCCGGATTCTTAACGTTGTGATAGACGAGCAGGCCGTGCGGCAGTCGAGTACGGAATTGAAATGAAATCTCACGGCAAAGTCTGTGGAGAAATACGGACAGAGGGAGAGAGAGAGAGAGAGAGAGAGAGAGAGAGAGTAGGGAATTGTTGCATTAGCATATGTGTGTGTGTGAGGGAAAGAGGGAACAAGATGATGATGGTCTGTACGCCTGCCAGAGTTTTAAATTTATTTGTTCTTTGCTCTTGAATGCTTTTGCTTCTCCTCCTGGTGCTGCTGCTGGTGCTGCATGTCTGCTGGGAGCAACATGAGTTACAATTAAAACTACAGCACAAATTGCCAACTTGGCCAAGTGCTTGTGGTAGCCACTGGCCAGCAGCAGCAGCAGCAGCAGCAGCAGCAGCAGCACTAACAACAACGATAACAAAAGCCAGTACTATTTTGGCCCAAGTCATGTTTAATTTTATTTGCCTCCTGTCTGCATGTTTGTCCAACGTGGCATGTGGCATGTGGCCCAGCTCTCTCCATTCTATGGGCCACATTTAAATAATATTTTTTATCTTAATTTAATATGCAAATGTCCAAATGTTTTTGGCCCAAATTGAATTTTAAATTCTCTATTCTGGCCCCAAGAAAACGAAGACAGAAAGTCATTTTCTTGGCCAAGAGCAGAGGTCTCTCTGCAATTGAGCAGAAAATTAACTTTCGGTCCGGCCCGGTACGGTCCGGTCCGGTCCGGCCCGCATTTGTGCCCGCTTTTGGGCACTCTCTTTGACCCTCTCAAAACGTTTCGTGAGTGTTTTTGTTTGGCCCCATCGATAAGGCGACTGCTTGTCCCTCAAGTAGAAAATCAATTTGAGAAACTATGTCAGTTTTTGGCTAATTGCACTTGCAACAGCTTTGGGACTACGTTTTAACCCCACAGAGCGGAGATTTATTGCTTTTTTTGCAGGTAATTGTGGGAGGCACATCATTTAATGGGCCTAAAAATTCCTCTTTTGAGATGGAAAACAATGGTAATTCATCTTTAGATCTTCCTGCTTCTAAGATATCATTGGCTCTGTAATTGAAGAACTCTCTAATACTCAGATCTCAGTGAATTGGATCAGAAATTCCTACAATAGGTCTTTAAATCCTTAACAGACCTTTGCTCAAATAATAATCCTCGCAGTTCTTAGAATTTATATGTTTCAATGTTTCCTCACAGCCCTCCTAGGGTTAAGCGAAATCATATCCAAATTTGAGCCAAAAGTCCAACAAGCCGCCAAATGACGCGCGCTGATGCTGCATGCAACGTGGCAAAGAGTGAAATATGCAAAGGAGTTACGGGATGTCCCGAACAGGGGTCGTGGGTCGCAGGTCGTGGGTACCCACTCACCTTAATTGAAATGTCTGTATGATGTCGCCGTCCATTTGGATGAACGTGTTGTTCTTGGCAAAAACGAAAGTTTTGCCTTGGCCCGTCTCCGCAAACGTCAGCTCAGGGCCGCGCTGCTCGATGGGCACTGGGGTGGTGCCATCTCCCGTCCTGCCGTCCTCATCCTGTGCGGCCTGGGCCGGACTCTGGGTGTACGCCGATCCAATGAGCTGCGAGCTCTCTGTGGTGCTGGGCTCGCGAGTGGTTGACTGCAGGAATGGCGGCAATGTGTCTGCAAAAGAGATTGTCAGGCTTGTCAATAGGGAGAACACATGTGGCGGGAGGGGCAGGGAGCGCGGGAGAATACATAAATCTCGATAACAGGGATTACAATCATCAGATTTCTTATCGAGTCTATATAATACAATGTTTCTCTGTCGCCTCCTGCTGCCCTCAATCGTTAGCTCTGCCTTACGTGGCCCTCCAATGCAGTGGAACAGGCACTCCGCCTCGGTGCTGAAACGATTCTGGGGATTGCCATCGCAGCCGCCCCAAATGAAGTTGGTGCACTCGTTGGTCGTCGGCTCGTAGCGCCACTTGTAGATGTACTGCTTGCACGGGCCCGGATCCCCGGGACCCGTACACTTCTCGTACAGCTTCTCCTTGGGCGCCTGGACCATGGCCGAGTTGTTGCCACTGCCGCTGAGGCCGCCGCCACTGCTGCTGCCGCTGCCGCCGCTGCTGCCGCCCATTTGGCTGCCGCCCAGACTGGTGGCTCCTCCTCCTCCGCCCGCCTCAGCTGTGGACTGTCCGCCGGGAATGCCCACTGCCAGGCCGCCGCCGCCGCCGCTGATCAGGCTGCCGTTGCTGCCACCGATGCTGCTGCCGCTGGGCCCCACAACGAGCGGGGGCAATATCAGGCCTCCACTAGCGGCCCCATCGGACGCCGTCATATTGGGCAGGCTCAGGGCCGACGTGCAGGCGCCGAGGTAGCAGAGCACTGCTAGCACTAGGGGCTGTCCGTGTCCCATCATGAGTATGTGTTATTGTTGTTGGAAACTGCACGAGAAAGAGGGGAAAAGATAGACAGTTAGTGGGTGTAGCTAAAGCTCTTAATTCTACCCAAAGATGGCAGCCGACAACTCCAGAATTTAGTGGCTGTGCCTCCTGCCCCATTCATCTGCCTGTGTGCCAGCCATTTCCATGGCGTTCCTTGGGCTATTCATTAGATTTCCTTGTAATTGCACAATAAATTCAGTCAGGCAATTTACGTGCTTGTCGCTGAAGAGCAAAAAAAAAAAAACCCAAGGCGAGAAGTGAGAAGCGAGTGAGAGAACCGGAACAGAGCTATCACAGCCTTATGATTGGGAGCGACAAAGAAGGAGAAGAACTTTACTATTGTCATGTGGCGGCGCTCCGCACTAAAATCCCATTTACATCATCGTGCCTCATCATCATCAGTCAATGTCTCTGCTCCTTCAGCTACAGCTTCAGCTTCACTCTGGCTGCTGGCTGCTGGCTGCTGGCTGTGTCTCTCCTTCTTTGGGCTGGGGCTCTGAGAATGAAGCGACGACGCTGCATTTCTTGATGGCATTTAGCGTAAACGAGAATGAAACGAAACGAACTTTTCTGCTTACACTTCCGCCGGAAATGTGACACACACACACACACACACACACACTACAAGTATGTGTATGTGTAGAAGAAAACTTGCTCTCTCTGGTGAGACGCATGAGCTGCAAAGTTGATTTACAAGTAGCTTAGCACCCAACCATCAAGCGAAAAAAGTGTCAAAAATTTCAAAATAATGATGCGCACAGTTTACACTAAATGGCCAAAAGAAAATAGTATGGAATGGGGATGGGGATGTGATGGAGGTGGATATAGCCAAGCGGAAACTAAAAGGGAAATAGGAAATTAAGTTTTCGCCCAGAGAAAACTTTGCGAGGTTTCGGGCTTATGGCTTAGTCAGGGACTGCGGCCACCACTGCCTCGTCCAGAAGTTTTTGGCTCGCTTCCATCATCAGTGGACGAGGCAGCCATCATATGCTCCTCTCCTTTATGTTTTGTCTGCCATTTCCGTTCATAAGCAATTTTTAATTGTGGCTTTCGGTTGCCCTGGCAGCATGAAAAATGAGCGCCATAGCCCCGGAGCCAGAGTTCATGCAAATTAATAAACCTCAGAGAAACAGAGACAGAGAGAGCGAGCGGAGAGATAGTGGAGTGTGGAGTGTGGAGTGTAGCGTGTGGCGTGTGGGTGTGGTCGAGGGGGGTTCTGGGGTCCAGGTCAAGTCGCATGCTGGCACAAAATTATTGATGCATATGCCAGGGGCCTGGGCAGGACGTGCGTGCTATCCTGTCGTTGAGTGGTTGGGTGGGGGGGGGTTGGGCGGGGGTCGAAGGGTGCTGCATGGATGGATGGATGGCCCCCAAAATTGCATTGGATTTTTGGCCGAGAAGTTGCCTAGATGTTTCCGCCTTCTCCCTCTTCTGTGTGTGTGTGTGTGTGCCACAGAGTGTCGTCTTCTCTTTCTCTTTACGGGGTCAGTCGAGCGGCAAAGTTGACCCAACTTTTCTGTGGCATGGCGCAGCAAATCCTCCTCGCCATACACCGAAGACTTTGGCCCAAAGTGCATTAATGGAACAACACGTGTGCGTGTGGGTATTCGTGTGCGAGTGTGTGTGTGTTTGTGGAAAAGTTTGGCCTGAAACGCGGAAACAGATAAACCATCCGTTACCTGCGTGGGACGCTAAGTCGGCGGACAGGCAGGCGGCAGACAGGCAGCACTCAGGTAACGACACCCCAAAGGATTGGCCAGCAAGGAAAAATCACAGCCAGTGGGCCAGGCCAGGCCAGCAAAAAAGATAAACAAGTCCATGCATGCATAACACATGGGATTTCCTAAACCCAAGAAAGCCCAGGCCAGGCCACGCCGGGCCAGGCCAGGACATGGTCCTTTAAAAACTCAAGCCACTCCGGGCATGGCAGACATTCAACAGTCAGCCAGCAGCATGGAATCATCCAGCGGTACCGCCTACGCTCTGTTCTTGCACCGCCAGGAGTTGCAACGCCGCCAGATGCTATACACCAAGGTTTCGAGGACCAAAATCCAGCTGACAAAGGAACTGATTGCCAAGCAGAAGCAACGGCTGGGCGCCTGCACCAACGAGGATCTGGAGATCCTCAACAGAGAGACGCAGTTCAAGCGAACGCTCCAGCAGAAGCTCAAGCATCGCAACAAGCAGCTGAAAGCCATTGCCAGGCAACAGGAGAGACGAGAAAGCTGACTACAAGGAGGGCAAACCCCCCTCTTTTTTCCACTATAGTTTTACCGTTACCCCCTCCTGGGGAGCACAAGTTTAATTAGTTTTAGCTTAACGTAAATGATGTGTGCTTTTCCATAGTTTAACTTAGCTTAGAGCTCAAAGAAATAAAATTTCCTATGCAAATCAAGTCATGTTGTCTTTCGGGATGCCCTCTAAAAGGGCAAGGGTAACGGGTATATGGGTTCTTAGAGCACCCCCCAAAAAGCCCCTATAAACATTCAGTAATTCATGGATTTTTGATTAATTTTCCGTTCATTCGTGATGCATTAATTCATTCATACACGAATGCATCCATTCAAATTAATCGTACACAGATTCACACTCACATTCATTCATTCATTCATACTCGTATATGTCCATAGCAATTCCCACATGCATTTCCGCCCATTCCCATTCAACCATTCAAGCACTTCAATTTCCCCCGAAAAAGTTTATTCCAATTCCCCTTTCAAGGGTATTCATTGATCGATGCACTCGCTCTCTCTCACTCGGTCTCCTTTCTAGTTCCTTCTCCTTTTACCGTTTTCACAGCAAACGCAAAACGTTTTAAATTGAGCTCGCGTACGTTGCGCTACAACAGCAACAACAACGAGTACGAGTACGAGTACGAGTACGAGCACGAGCACGAGAAGGGGGAACAACAACGAGAGAAACAACAACCAACTAAGTAATAACAGCAGCCTGAAGGAATACTCCCTACCGTCTCTCTTCCTCTCTCCCTCTCCCTCTCCCTATCGCACCACCCTCTAAATTACACGTTTTGTGCTCAGGCGTCGACGCCTCTCGCGCTATAGTGGAAAAAAAAAGGGAAAGAGACGGAGAACAAGTGAAAGAAAGCGCAGAAAAAAAGAATGCCAAGGCAAGGCACTGGCACTGGCACAAGGCGGCGTGGAGGAGTGCAAGGGTAGGGGGATGGCAAATGAAAGCAAAGTGAAGTCAAATTAAATTAAATGACAGATGTCTGACATTTTGATAGTCGTGCGTGTGTCTTTCTACAGATATGGCTCTCTGTGTGTGTGTGTGTGTAGTTATTTGCATGTGTTTATATCACACACACACACGGGGCAGAGTTTTTGTAATGTCAAGTGTCGCAAGGCAAAATGCACATGCAGAAGGACAGCCATTAAGACACACCCCACAAACAGACACGAGGCTGCATTTGTTCTCGAAGATTTCTCGTTGCACTCTATCGAGAAAGTGTCACCCAGAATGTATAGTAATACTTGGGATTAAATGGTTTAAAATGTATTATCAGGAAGGCAGCTCCGGTTTTCACTTTTCAGTTAAAACTTTCCGTTTTCGTAGCTAAAAGCTCCCGAAAAACACACACGTTTCTCGTTTTCAAAAGTAAATGGGAAAGTTTTGGCGAAAGTTATAGCCGAGGCCTGCCCCGTATGTTATTCTTCTACGAGAATTAAACTAAAAAGTTTTAAAACGGATATAATTAAGGTTTAAGAAAACTATGAACGGATTTTTTCGAGCTTTGGGCGATAGATGACATCGTAATTACTACTGTAGTGATGGAATGATTGACGGTTAACTACAATATTTCAATATTCAAATCAAAATAAACCAAATAAACTAAAGCTATCGTAAATCTCGTATGTCTCCATAACATACGTTTTTCTGCCTGCTGGTGGGGCGATTGCCTGAGAGGAGTAACTGTTCTGGCAAATATACATACATACATATGCCCGTGTGTGTGTGGGTGTGTGTGCGTGCAGTGCAGTGTCGTGTTTGTGCATGTCTCCCAAGTGTTGGTCGCGTAAGGGTAATGAATTAAAATAACTTGATTGCATGAAATTGAACGAATTGTTGCCGAAGGAGGCGGCGGCAGAGGCGGCACTGAAGGAACAACCATTGCTGTGAAATGGGGAAATGGTGCAGGGGTAACGGGATGTGGGATGTGGGGGCGGGGGGCGGGAAGGAAGGAAAGTCGTGCTGCCATGACATGAGCGCGACAGCTCGAAGCGAGTGCAATGCGCGGAAATTGCAGTCGCCCCTATGGGTTCCTCTCACACTCACACTCACACTCTTTCTCTCTTTGTGTTTGTGTTTGTGTGTGTAAAAATATTTACTGAAATTTGTATATTAAGTGACGACGACGACAATGGCAGAGGGCTCCGCACAACAACAATGGCATTCGCCTTTGTCATTTGTTGTTTTAGTGTTTGATGCTGTTGGCAATGCCGTTGCGTTGCCGTCACGGTCGCCTACACGTACAAGTGCGAACTTATACCAACATAGACGCCTCGTGTACATGTGTGATATAATAGAAATCAGGATGCATGAATGAGCGCTCAGCAACGCTGCTAACTGCGTGGGCGGCCAGGGGGCCTGGGGTGCTGAATCAACGGAGACTGAGAGGAAGAGAGCGAGAGCGAGAGCGAGAGAGAGAGAGAGAGTAGAAGTTTGCGAAGGCTGCAGACATTTTATTGTTGTCTTCTGCTTCACTAGACACCAAAGCAGCTCTACAGTCGGGATTAGCTAAAACAGAAATACTGCACGAGCTTTAACGAAGGATCAACTTTTTGATATCCCAGCAGAAGTTTTAGAGGCAAACAGAACGCGGCTTTTAGTACCCTGTAAAGTTTATAGTTCTCCTCAAAATAGAATCATCAAAAGGGGGAATATGCGTAAATTTTGCCAATTCGCATAAATCTTTGAGAACTAATTTCGAAAATTATTGAATATTTAAATGAAATTGCACACATGGATATAGTTTAAGTGCAGCAATTACTTAAATTAGAATCGAAACGATGGGATGTAAGAGTCGTAATAACGGTCACGCGCCATGCGGCAGCACTCCTCGGTCTTTAAAGCAAGAGGTTTGTGCCTGCCATGCGTTTGGGGGCCTCAAAATTGTAAGGTCCTCCAGCTTCCACTGTAGCCAACATTCACTGTACACTGTAGACAAAAGCTAAAGACCAGAATTGTGCTGGCATTTTCGCACTAGCAAATTCAATTAGTTTTGCAAGCACTTTAAAAATGATTTAATGCCTGTCCCGTCCGTCCCGTCCGTCGCTAACCGAAACACGATGCCATTAAATGAAACTATAAATGTTTGCATTTAGCCAGAGTTTATGTAACACTACCAAAAACGCACTCGAATCCGTAACATAATTCCCCAACAACATTGCAGTTGTTCTTGGGCTTAGAATATTAAACGAAATTTACACGCCTCGTTGGCTTTGAGATGACGGTGTCGGGGCCGGGGCCGGGGACGGAGACGGACATCTGGCCTGCTACATATGCATTGTAATTGTCTGTTATTTGGCTATTGTATAAATAATTATTATTTAATTTGCTTGCACTTGGTGTGGCAGCAATCAAATTGTTTGTTAGTTGTTTCTTTGTCTGACAGAGCGGAGCAGCGGAGCGGAGTGCATTGGCCCTCAAACGTCACCGCCAAAGAATTATGCAAATTTCCGAATACGATACCGAGGCGCTTTTTAATGACCCATTGAGCGTGCCAGGCATTTTAATTGGTAAGTCGAGACTCGTGTTACACATAAGCCTTTGATACGTATACATATATATATATATACACACATGTATGGAACACCTTACCCCGGCGGCATGTCATAAACTGGACATGGCCAAATCTTTTGATCGCCTTCGATATCGTTTCAATATTTATGGATTTCCGTGAAATGTGCAATTGGTTTTCCTTCACTTCCGGCTGTTAAAGTTTGGTTAATTTTATAATATGTTGTATTTTCCAGGTCTTTTTTTGGGATTTTCGTATTTTATTTTTTTTTTTTTAATTTTAAGTTTATTTTATTTATTTATTACCAATCCTTCAAGAAAATTTCTCACTTTAAAGGGTTGGGCTTCCGAATTTTCTTTATTGGAAAAAAAAATCCACTTTCACTGAACCCGTTTAACATTTAAATTTTTTCAGGACCACAGAAAAAAAATATCAACCTTTAATTTCATTGATCGGAAAAAAGGTAGATTACCCACGAAACATAGCCACAAATTGGCTTCATTTACACATTTTCCCTGCACTTCTTATGGCATTATTGGGCCGGCCGGGGGTTTTTATTGCATATATTTAATAATATTTATTTAAATGAATTTCCGCAACTGCGTTTATCACATTTATTAGCTAAAATGAGCATGTTAATTATATTATTCTCGTATTCCGCTTAAAAATCTCCCACATTTTGCACCTTTTTTTTGTATCTTTGTATTTTGTAGCACTCTCCAATAACCGCATTAATTGAATTAAATACGCTTTCAGTTGTGCAGCATTTTTATGAACTATCCAAAAATGGCTTAATTACTTGCAATTTATACGAAAATTAAGTGGCTAACGAGAATGGCGGAGCAATTTCAATAGATTTCGATCCTGCGGTTTGGAGGGATTCGCGGATTTGGCAGGGGATTTTGGAGGAGAAAAAAAAACTCGACCCCCCCCCCCCCAGGGGGCGTGCATGCAAGCTGCAGCACTAAACCGATTTAAAGCGATGAGAGAGTCAGATAGAGAGGGAAAGAGATACCAACTTATTGATTTCATTTGCTTCCTGTTCCATGCATGTTTGTTCATGTTTGTGGCACTAACACGCTGAAATCATTATGGGCAAAAAAAAAAAGACGAGAAAAACTCTCGAGCAAACACACGTCGAACATTGGGACGTGCATAACTTGGTAGGAGGGAGAGGGAGAGAGAGCTGTGTGTGGGAGGAGACACACTCGAGCGTAAAACCGTTGCCGTTGCCCAAAATGAGGTCAAAGTGCGCTCGGCTCGCGTTGGTGTTTTGCGTGACTGAGCGCGTATGTGTGAGAGAGCTTCAAGGATATGTCGCTGCATTGGTATTGTGCTTTATTTTTTCACTATTTTATTTTGTGCTGACGCATACGAAAAACAGCTCCACAGTCGTACGATAGCTCTCCATCCATGCACAGAAAAAAGAAACCTCAAAATTATCTAGAGATTCTACAAGGTTTTCGGATCG